ATAGTAGACACAATTGCTGCCTCCACTCCTGTTCCTCTTCCAGTGGAGTGCTTGTGGGTCCTCCGTGCCCATTGCAACCAAGGACAATGAATGTCCAGGCCTAGGCTGTCACACCCTTGTCTATGACCTCATGCCCGTGGTGGTCAGTGTGACCACATAAGGGCCCGTGCAGGGAGCTTGAGCAGGTCCTCTGTGGCTATCTGCTCAAGGGGACTGGCCACATCAGAAGCCTTAGACCTGGCTTCCCTAAGGGGATTCCCAATATCTCCTCTTCACAGATGAGACTCCATGAGCAGGGGCATGAGGCTGGCCGAGACGCACATGCCCCTTGGGGCTCCGCTTCTGCTGTTGGGGCTGTGGGCACTCCTGGGTCCAGTCCAGGCCTCCCCTGATCGCCCCTCATGGCGCTATGCCTCCGTTGAGGTGGTGATTCCCCGGAAGCACACCCACCATGGTAGAGGCCTTCAGGTGCCCAGCTGGCTGTCCTACAGCCTGCGCTTTGGGGGCCAGAGGCACATCATCCATCTGCGGAAAATGACCAAGTTTCAACCCACAAATGTGCTGGTGGTGACCCAGAATGACCAAGGTGCCCTGCAGACACAGTATCCCTACATCCCTGTGGACTGTAAGTACATGGGCTATGTGGAGGAAGTGCCTTACTCGACGGCCAACATCGACACGTGCTATGGAGGCCTGGAGGGGATCATCAAGTTGGATGACCTGACCTATGAAATCAAGCCCCTCAAGGATTCCCTCACTTTTGAGCACACTGTGTCTCAGATAATGGTGGATGTCAATACAACAGAGCCTCCATTTAGACCTGAAGAGGACAGGCCCTCACTGCCGGATGGGGCTAATGACACTACAGACCCCAGGATCCCGAGCAAGGTGTATCTATACCATCCTATCATACTAAAAGCCTTAATTATAAGTCCCAATGAGATATACAGGAGATATGGCCGCAACAGGACAGCTACTATCAGATTTATGATGAGACTAGCGGGTGCAATTCGAGGAATAGCTCAAAATATTGGTCTTACATACATTGTCATTGCTTTGTGCATATTTGATACACAGGATCCAATGGAAATTACTGACTACAGAATGCCACAAGGTCCTTTTTTTCAATTCTACAAAACTACATTCTTTCCTACCATCAGACCCAATTCAGCCTTGGTGATACTTCTGCAAGGACCTTATGAATTAGATGTTGCTCCACCATATTATGGCACATGCAAAGACAGACACGTGATCTATCTTGGTCTAAAGCGTAGACACTACTTCTTAGGAGCTGTCATAGGAGCACAACAGGTTACGAGAAATTTCGGCTTATTTTATGATCATGCCTACTGCCAGTGCCAGAGAAGGGCCACCTGCGTGATGTACTTGCACCCTGTTCTAACTGATGCATTCAGTAATTGCTCCTACATGCACTTGGCACACATAGTTACAGGGGTAACACTCTGGTGCCTGTATTTCAAATCTTTCACATACTATAACCACACTGACACAGAGTATTTGTGTGGGAACAGAGTAGTGGAACCAGGGGAGCACTGTGACTGCGGATCCTTCAAGCAGTGCTACACCAATCCATGTTGCCAAACTAACTGCAATCTTACGCCCGGTAGCATTTGTGATGGGCAAGACTGCTGCACAAACTGCACCTACTCCCCTACAGGGACACTGTGCAGAGCCATCAAGAATATATGCGACCTGCCAGAGCACTGCTTGGGAAACACACTCACCTGTCCAGAAGACCTGTATATGCAAGATGGAACCCCGTGCACTGAAGAAGGCTACTGCTATCTAGGAAACTGCTCTGACCGCAGCATGCATTGCAGAGAGATCTTTGGAAGAAACGCTGTGAAGGGGGACATTATCTGCTATCAAATAAATGCAAAAGGCAACAGATTTGGACATTGTTCTCGAGCCCATTCATCGCTCTTTCACAGACCCTGTCTGCCAGAAAACCTTCTTTGTGGAAGGTTGCAGTGCGGCAATGTCTCCCACCTTCCCCGGTTGCAGGAACACGTCTCATTCCATCAGTCTAAGTTTGAAAACTCTTGGTGTTTTGGAGTGGATGAACACCGGGAGACGCTAACTGTTGACGTTGGACATGTGCGGAGTGGTTCGCAATGCGCTCCTGGAAAATACTGCATAAATTTCCTGTGCAATGGCTCCCTGCCAGACCTGAACTATGACTGTGCACCAGAGAAGTGCAGTTTCAGGGGAGTTTGCAACAACCACAGGCAATGTCATTGTCATGTAGGTTGGGATCCTCCACTATGTAAAAAAAGAGGTGCTGGGGGGAGTGCGAGCAGTGGGCCACCTCCAAGATACATACGAGTTGTCACCCAGAAGGAGGATATTGTGCATTTCCTGAGAGTGGTCTTTGGTCGCATTTATGCATTCATAGCAGCACTGCTCTTTGGGGTGGCCGCAAATGTGCGCACCATCAAGACTGTCACTGTTCAGCCAGCAAATGCTCCTCAGCCAACTTAAGGGAGTCAGCCTTCCATCCCTGTAAAGCCATGGGCACTTTTGGAGGAAGGAGACAAAGCCTCAAGTCTTTGACATCCGCAAAGTCCCCAGGGGCCTTGGCATGTGTGGGGCAATATGGGAGGCAGGGACGCTGCGCACAGTAACGGTTCCTCATTGGCTGCAGATGCCCGATGTGTAACGAACCCAAATAAATCCTTCTAGCCTGCAAGCTGCTTGTCCCGGGTGATTTGTTACAGCCAACGAAAGCAAGGAGCCAAAGTGGGAACTGACACCCTCAGACATGGGAAGAACCTGGGCAGCCTGTGGGAGTCCTTGAAGCTTTCCAACTCCAGAGGACACAGACTGAGATTGTGCCTTTGGAGGTAGTTACTGATAGAGACGACAAGAAGGGGAGGGAAAGAGACTCATCAGAATGGCCCAGATCCCGGGGGAGCCAAGGGTGCCACAGGGTGCCCTCCTGGGTGCCACAGACACTGTACTTGCCCTTTCCAGGAGGAGGGACCCCAGTGGGGACTGTGCTTGCTGGGCAGGTACTGCAAGACTGGCTTCTCTCAGGCCAGAGGTGGCCTGGCCCCCAAGGACAAAGCCAAGCCCTGTTCCTTCCAGGCACAAGGTGGCCAGGGCCAGGGGCCCAGATTTGGGTCACAGCCTCACCAGCAGGAGCACAGCCCTCGTGACTGATGCTCACTGTGGTGTCAGCACAGTAATGTCCTCCCAGCTTCTCTGAGAGTCCTAGAGTCCTGAGATTATGCAGGGAGCTAGGAATTCTGGAAGGGCTGTTGCAGCTTGCTGCCAAAGCCCACATGGTGCTGCCCGGGTGCAGCATGTGCTCTGTCCTTGGCTTCTCCTCGTTTGCTCTTTACTGGGCCCAAGCCCACTCTGCAGAGGCAGATTCCACATCACTCTTCATGTACTCTCTCAAACCACTTGCCATAGCTTTTTGCTCCTTTCTTCGAATTCTCTGTTGGAGATCAAAAAAACCTGAAAGCCAAACCCAGAAGCAAAGGGGAGTCACCGGAACCCAGTAACATTTTGAGAGCCACCTTTTAGAGACAAGTGACCTGGTAAGAGCACACTTTGAGAGCCTCATCCAAAACCATTTTCAGAACAGTAGAAACTCATTTAATTAGACTAGGGAGCTTGGGAACACCAAGATGGAAGGCGCAGCCCACTGTGTGTCTGGAGAGGACTGTCTCCTTTCTGTCTACTTTCCTGGTGGGCGTAAGGCTTTCTTTCTCTGGTGTGAAAGAAAAGCAGGTGAAAGTAAGTTTACACCTAATAGAATCTGTGATGGGCAAGATGGCTCCACAAATCCCACTTGAAACACGAGGGCTGGGAAGAGCCTGCAAATCTCTCTGGGAAGGAAGGAGGTGACAAAAACACTTATGGGGTGTGGAGGACCACCTGAGCAGCTCTCCTTGAAAGAAAAGCGACTGTCTCCATTTTGACTGAGCCTGACCCTATTTCCTCATATTGCTCTGTACAGAGCTGGCCGGGACTTCTGTTTATCCTTCAGTTGGCTTTAAGCAATGTGTATTGGTCTAGCTGAGGTGTTGGTGATAGTCTTTGAAGGTGGTGTGGGTGTTTCCCTGGTAACCTATACCTGCTGCTCTTTAATGTGAGCCGGGTCCAGACAGGACAGTAGAGCCAATGCTCCACGCTGCCATCTGGGATCGAGCC